GTAGCAGCAAATAAACCTCTCAGCGCAAAGGAACGTTCCTGTATTTACAATTTTGGATGTAACTATTCATTTTGGACAATAAATTTTCACAAACGTACATCTCGTTGAAAGCCACAAATCACATTCCAAGATCTGGCACCAGTGTTGCCAAATACTGTATACAAGGGTTTCTTTTTTATAAAACACAATTCTAGGGTCAAGGCCCCTCCTTTTTTGTGCACATGTTCACCAATCCCAACATACTTACAACCTCCACCCTCCAAAACACCATACATTCACTCAGCACATAGTTTCAGTCAAAATGCAATTATCTCAAAGCAACAGTAAGATATTTTGGCATTTCCCATCTGGCAACTCTGCCTGGCTTAGAAACTCAGGCCAACAAGTACAGCAATTTTCATATAAAAATGCACGTTTTGCCACAGTTAACATGGGAACAATGCTAATGATACCAGAGGTTGTTCATGTGTAAACAAAAAGGTTGGAGGACATGATGGGGATGACTCTCAGCTACTACCATAATCCTTAAAACAGACAGCTGAAGCCAAATGTTGTGAAACTCAGTGCTCTTTCAGTGGTTGCTTTCTGATTTTAGATTCATTTTAATTTCTTACAGTGTTTAGTTTTAGTGTTTTCTTTGTGTTTACAAGTTTCAGCCGTTTGTTTTGTTTATTCAGTTTTTGGGTTTCTTTGAGCTCCTTGCATCAAGTCTGTATTCCTGGGTCCAAATCCTCTGGAAACTCAGACATTTGTGTTAGCAAATGTCAATTATCTCCGATCTTCAAATCAGGTTGACACATTTTATAAAAACAGGAAGATATACTAGATAGATAACTTATAGATCCTTTGCAGGAAATTATTACAGACGTATTACAGAGCAACTCTTTGTAATTTTACTCTTGATTTATTTCACACAACATGTCATGAAGGGAAGCGTGGGTGAGTCGAGATACTTGCACTGTTTTTTTCAGAAAGACTGTGTCAATTGAAGCTGCCACTCAGACTAGTTCCCAAAGCGTAACGGGGAGCAAAGGTCATCAACTTACACTCTCAAAGTGTCAGAGGATAAAAACCAACTTTTTCACCCACTGTGAGCAGGATCAAAAGGAGCCCCCCCCCCTAATGTCTCATGAGCTAAAATGGCCTCCATTTTCCACAAAAATGAGAAACTGTTGGTTCTTATTGCGTTTTTTTGATATCTCAGTAAAAAATGTAAAAAGCCTAAGCTGTATTATGCCAAACAAAGCAGCAATAAGCAGTAGAAGCTCTTTAAGATGTGCTTTTTACTCTTTATTCAGCTCAGAGGCTGTGGGGAAAAAACTAATTAATAAAGGAGAATTAAACCGTAATCTTGGCTGGATTTTTCTGCACAGCTCCAGATCTGAAAGGTGCTTTTTAAAATCAGTTTTCAATGTCAGTTTTCTTGTTGCTAAAGCTCAAAATTAGTTGATGCTTCTGTCCTGTATTACCTTGAAATCAACTAAACCTTCTTTTTGTTGATTTTGCTGAAACTAATCTTATTCTTGTAAACTTTACTGTTGGTATAAACTGTATTCTGCTCCACAAATACTTTTGATTTGCTTTTAATGATTTAGATATAGATATTTCAGCTATTTCAGGTATCTCCTCTCTTAAACAGTGTTATTTAAAATATACTCTAAGAAACATGTATAATAGGTTGTCATCAGAACAAGGCTGCCCTTGCAAAAGAGATCTGCAATCTCAATGGGATTTGCCTGGTTAAATAATAGTAAAGAAAAAATAAAAATAAAATGCAGAGTTCAACTTTAGCTTTTTCCACTGTTTTTATAATTCTATCTTATAGCTACAGTTCTGACAATTACTAGATGTTTTGCTGTACTGAAGAATGTTAGGTTCAGTTCTTATTAAACTTGGTCAGATGGTGCTGCTGTGGCAGAGTGGTTAGGTGAGTCGTCTTGTACTCGGTGGGTTGCTGGTTTAATTCCCTGTTCCATCTGTTTCAGTCGTGGTTTGGGGCAAAGCACTTCACCTTCCTTGCCTGCTGGTGGTGCTCAGAGGGTTCAGTGGTGCGGTATGGCAGCCCCCGAATATGGGATAAATCTTGTGCCAGCAGGAATTGAATTTTAATTGCTTAGATTGAATCTGAATGTGCATAATTATGACCCCCGCACGTGAACCATAAGCGGGAGTCATATTGTTTTTGTACTGTTTATTCTTTTTTTTTCAGTGACATTTGGTCAACTGTAGCACAAAAACAGCTGCACCAATCAACACGAAATTTGGCAGGACTGTAGATGAGTCTGACCTACACTGCGCCAGTCAACGGTTTTATGATAGACCCCATATTTGAGGAGGGGGCTCCTTTCAAAGTGGGGGTGTTTGGACATGCAAAGATGCTTATAACTCAGAAACTATTCAACACAGAAGCTTCAGATTTATTTTGTTGTTTAGCTCTGATGAAGCTCTATCCATCAGGCCCACCAATCAGTGCCCCCTGACCCAAAAAAATAAATAAATGAAAAAATAAAAAAATACCCCCACCCAAACCACTACAATTTTGGGATGCACCTAGTAGCAGGACATTTATTAGGAATAAAGACTTCTGAGTCCTGGTGCATTTCTGTGTGCGGGGTCATTATGTTGCCACTATGCGGTATCTAGTTTGAAATTGGATGCATTGGTTTGAAAATGAATTTTAATAAACTGAAACCAAATTTAATGGTTTGAAACTAAATTTAAAGTTTTGTATCTGAATAAATTTGCTTTGAAACTCTATTTTGGTTTATTAAAAATTCAGTTTGACTACTTTCAATTTCAGTTCCAAAATTCAGATTTTTTGTGTCGCACATCCTGGTCTTTCAGAAAGCCAGACAGAGTAATCAAACACAGATCCACAGATTTACGTTTCACCTTGGTGAAGTTTCCCTTCTGTAATATAACAAAGTTGATGCAATCCACCGTAAAAGTGACAAAAACAGCTCTTTTATTGCAGTGATTAATTTTACCTAAATGTAGAAAATGTTACAATTTACATCACATTTTGGATCAGTCAGCAGCAGCATCTGATCAATATGTGATCCATGATTAGGCCTGTCGCGATAGTCAATAAATCAATTAATTGCACGATAACTTTTTTTGAGGTCGGTAAAAAAAGACGGCGATAAGTTTCATTTTCCTGCTTGTTTTTTTTACTTCGTCTCTCTCCCTCTCTGTGCTCCACTACACAGAAGCTCAGCTGACTCCTCCCCTCCTGTTTTCTTAGTGTGGGAGGAGCGAACTGTTGCTTTAGCGTGAGAGCTCGTTGCTAAATAAACGCTTCAAAGCAGAACGCGGCTGCAGAAGTGTCGGAGAACTAGAGCCTGGATTTCGCTGCGGAGGGAGGGAGGGAGAGAGAGACGGAGTGAGACAGAGAGACAGAGAGAGAGAGAGAGAGAGAGAGAAAGAGAGAGAGAGAGAGACAGAGAGAGAGGAGGAGGAGAAGGGGTGGGGGCTGAAACTCCCCTAGACCCGCGACAAACTCGTCAAGACTTTACCTGTAGCTCCCAAAAATAACAGGAAACATAAACACACCATCTGTGTTTTAACTAAACCCCCAAAAAGCCTGTAGCTGTCCCAACAACTCATGAGGAAAACTCTGAACTGTCTGATTTCCTCCCCGCAGCGCTCTGACTGTCCCCTCCTCACACACACAGACACACACACACACACACACACACACACACACACAGACACGTTTGTTCTTCTATCCTCATGGGGACTTTGCATTGACTTTCATTCATTTACCAGTATTTTCTATTACCATTTGACCCTAAACCTAGCCTACACTTTACATGGGATGTGAACTAGGCTTATGTCCCCATAAGAAACAGTGGGTCCTCACAGGCTGTGTAGTTTGCTTATTGTTTATTTACTGTCTTAGTAGTGTGTGGTGTTTAATTTACATTTTGTTGTTCTTTGTTTTATTTATTTTTTATTCAAGTGCATTTTTTGTTAGAGACTGAGAGTCCACTTTGTTAAACATTCTTTTAAAAATGAAAGTTTATTGATTTATTACACTTACATATTATGCTTATATAATTATTAGTTGTAAAACGGTCACCAGGCAATATTATCGTTTATCGCAATAAATTTTGAGACAATTAATCGCCCAGCAAAATTTGTTATCGTGACAGGCCTATCCATGATGTGATGTAAATGTAACATTTTCTACATATAGGTAAAATTAATCACTGCAATAAAATAACTTTGTCACAGTGGATTGCATCAAATCTTACATTATAGAAATTAAACTTCACCAAAGTGAAACAAATCAGTGGATCTGTGTTTGATTACTCTGGCTGGCCTTCTCAAGGACCAGGATGTGGGACACAAAAATCTGAATTATGGAACTGAAAGTGAAAGTAGTCAAAGTGAATTTTTAATAGACCAAAGTACAATTTCAAAGCAAATTAATTCAGATACAAAACTTTAAATTCAATTTCTATTTAGTAAAATTCATTTTCAAACCAATGCATTCAATTTGAAATTATGCACATTCAGATTCAATCTGAGCAATTCAAATTCAGTTCCTGCTGGCACAAGATTTATCCCATGGCGCACCCACTGTCAGTGTGCCCCAGGGCAGCTGTGGCTACAATGTAGCTTACCACCATCAGTGTGTGAATGTGTGTGGGAATAATTGAAGTCTTTGAGTGTCCTAAAAGCGCTATACACGTTTGATGTATTTTTATTATTAAATTTTATTCAAGTCTTGTATAATTTTTCATTTATTTATTGTCATTTTATTAATCCCCCATGTAAAAAGATTTTTATTAGGTTAGAATGTGGTTGTCATAAAATGTAAAATTCATAAATCAAAAAGAAAAATAAATAATAAAAAATGCAAAATAGAGTTTATACCATCAACTACAGATATGTTTTCTGATCCACACCTAGCTAAAACTCTGTCCCCATTTGCAGGTTCTGTGAGCAGAAGATGTTTTCTCTTCATCTTCTCAGCAGAACTCAGTAAAACCCACCTGTTCCAGCAGATCTTCAACTTTCCTCTGCCAGCCCTCTCTTGCTGCCATCAGTTCCAGCTCCTTCTGCTGGGACAGCTGGGTCAGCGCCGCCTGTTTGTCCGCTTCATATTCCTCTGTCAACTCCTCCCTCAACAAGCGCACTTCCTCTCTGTTTAAACAGACCGTTGAAAAAAACACATCTGTAAAACCTGCATGTATTATTTCATATTTGAATACTACTTGGTCTGATTAGAACAAATGCAATCGTGAAAAGAAGGTGAGAAATGAATCCGAAAACAAAGGGAGTAAAACAAAACGGTGAGGCTGGCTGTGTTTTTCTCACCTCAGCGCATCTCTCCATTTCTGATCCAAGTCGTCAGCCATCTTGTCCATCTTCTGTTTCTCCTCCGTCCTGATGGCCATCACTCTGGCCTCGTGCTGCTGTTTCTGGGTTTCAATCTCCTCCTACGAACAAATGCAGGAATCTCAGCCGAGACGCGTCATCTGTTGCCTAATTAAACCTTGTTAAGCCAGAGCCTCGTTTGTTTTGTAATCATCCTTCAATTATACCATCTTACATCCAAACACATTCGGGAATACATATTCACTCATAATTAACAGGCCAAAAATGCATGCAAAAAAATGTAGTGTATTTGTTGTAGTGTAGAGTCAAATAAGATGTTCAAATCATAATAATAAAAATGTAAAGCTACTAAAATTACCACCATGTTTGTCTCTGACCACGGCCCATTTCAGCGGCAGCAGCTGGATGACTCATCCTGTCATCCCCACCTAAACACCTCCTCATAAACGTAGTAGCTGCTGGGCATTAATAATGTGCTGCTTTGGAAGCGGGCTTCATCGGGTCGGCCGTTTCCAGCAGCTGAAGAGGATCCAGGGCTTATGTGCCGAGGAGCTCATTAAAAGACCTTTAAATGCTCTAATTTCTGGCTGTGAGGGGGAAAAGCTCGCATGAGTGATCCGAGCCAGACTCTGCTGCTTGGGAGCCCAAATTATGATCGTTTGACATTTCAGCGTATCTAAGTATGATTTAGATTGGTGCTTTCGTTCAAGAGTATATCAAATTTTGGATAGAAATTGTAGGTTTTTTAAATATTGTATTTTTTGTTTTTAAGAAATCAAGCAGCAGGTTTGGACTATAATTGTGGTTCAGCCTAACGGGTAAAGAAGTCTGTTCCTGAAGATGATTCTGTGATAAGCTGAATCTGTGTAATGATCTTATGTCGGTTTTGTTGCGAGTTTAAGTCTGACAAGCTTGAACAACAAACCCCTGATGCTTGAAAATCTGCAGAACATTTCAACAGTCATTTCAGTTTGGTTCATACCCACTAAACCATATTTACTATGTCCAAATGCCTTCTGAAATTGTTTGTGGAGGAAGCAATTATGAAGTTTAATATAGTAAATGCTGACTCAGCGTTCACATTATTGTTTTGCAGTTAACAGTTTCTTCTGTAGCATGTTTTCTGCCTTTGAGGTATCTCTCATTGCATTGAGAGCTCTTGAAAAACTCTTGAATCTTTGGAAAACTGCTCTGAAATCTACTTTAGCTTACACTTAGTTACTGTGTTGCTAATTTTAGCTCTTAGCTACTGTTTTGGTATTTCTTGCGACTGTTCTGCTAATTTGAACTTTTTGCTTCTGCCTTGCTGGTTTTTGTGTTCAGCTACTATTGTGACAATTTTACATTTTAGCTACTTGTCATTTCAGCTTTACGCTGCAGTTTTGCTCATTTTAGCATCTAGTTGCCGTTTTGCTGGTTTTAGCTTTCAGATACTGACAGTGTTAGCTTTAACCGTCTGATTACTGACCTCTGCCTTCTGCTTTGCTAGTTTAAGCTTTTAGTTACTGTTCTGATATTTTCAGCTTTTAACTATTTGCTAATTTCAGCTTTAAGCTACTGTTTTAAAAATTAGAGCTTTTAGCTTCTGTTTTGCAAAAATTAGCTTGTACATAGACCATTTTTTAACATAGTATTTTATGGTTATTTGCTAACTTATTTAGCATCAGCAGCTGACTATAGTACTTCTTAAGCTTTTTTTAACCATGCAATTCCCACTGAGATCACAAATCTCTTTTGCACAGGAGGCCTGTGCCTGAAGGCAATCTAACCTGCACGTTTTGTCTGTGGGAGAAAACCAGCAAGAGGATTGAACCCAGAACTTTCTTGCTGTGAGGCATCAGTGCTTGCCAACCACCAAGCCATCATGTTGCCAAAGAGCAGATAAAGAAGCTTGATTATAATATTTCTGCAGTAATAACTGTAATGCATGATAGTGTTAATATTCAGGTAAAAAATAATAATAATTGGCTAAATTGGTTTAAAGCTTTACAGACTGGAGTTGTTTTAAGTTGGCACCTATCTGCTCTGGTCTGATTAGCCATTAGCTCGTCAATTGTTTCTTTAAACTGTTGTTCGAAGAGTCTTCAGGTTTTCTTTTGGTATTAGACACTCGATTACTTTATGTCTCTTCAGACATACCTGACATGTTTCAGACAAAGACAGAAGTAGAACACCGTAACAAGGAAACCTCGAGACTATATTACACACAGAGGTTAGACAATGAAACTGAAATACCTGGTTTTAGACCCTAACATCCCTTTCAGACAGCTTCCTCTTGTGTCCACAGTTAATCCTGTTGGATGTGGTTGGTCCTTCTTGGTGGTATGCTGACATTACCCTGGATACTGTGGCTCTTGATAGATCACAAAGACTTGCTGTCTCAGTCACAGATGCTCCAGCAAGATGAGCACCAACAATTTGTCCTCTTTTGAACTCTGGTATGTTGCCCATAATGTTGTGTGTTTTGCTATATTTTAAACAAAACTGTGCTCTTACCCTGCTAATTGAACCTTTACACTCTGCTCTTACTGGTGCAATGTGCAATTAATGACGATTGGCCACCAGGCTGGTCCAATTCAGCCATGAGACCTCCCACACTAAAATGACAGGTGTTTCAATTTCATTGTCTAACCCCTGTATAGACAAAATGAGTTTTATTGGAATGCTGTTCTACGAGTTTATCTACAACAACTAAGATGTTGATTGTTTAGAACTTTTCTACTTTAGAAGACCTGAACTTTTCACTTGAACTAAAGTATAAACCTCCCCTGAATAAAAGTTATTATATTTGTTCAGTATTAACATTAAAGTCTAGAATATAAAGAGGTATGATATAGATTATAACTGTTACAGTTTTCCATTACAGCAGCAGGTTTAGGTCTATTTTCTCTGTTTTACATGAAGCTTTAGGAGTTTGCAGACTAAAGCTCAGGTGGCTCTAAATGTCAGACTTTCCAGTTAGTCTTAAAAGTTGTAATAATTTATCGGCTACAAATAAAACCTTCTACTGAAGTTATCTAGGTCAGTGGTTCCCAAAGTTGGGATCAGGACCCAAAGTGGGGTCCTGAAACATCAAGGTGGGGTCCTGAAAAGATTTTCTATATTAATTACATTTTTGCCTTAGTTGCCTAGAATGTATAAATGTAGAATAATAAATATTGTTACTATGCCCATGTTTAGTTGACCTGATACAAACGTTTATCATCCAAAAATAGTTGGGGGCACAGGTCTCTGCTACTGTTATTTTGTGGGACAAAAGCTGAAAAGTTTGGGAACCACTGCACTTCAGAAATCAATTTAAAGGGTAATAAAATAATAGGTGATGTAATATTTTCCCTATAATTATTACAAAACACAAAATAAGTAAAAATAATTATTTATATTTGTGTAGCCTTTGTTTTTAGGGTTATTAACTAAGTTTGTGTACTTAGACTAGTAATATTTGGGGTCACACGTTTTTGCAACAAATTTTTTTTGTGGGACAAAAATAATATTTTGGGAACCACTGATCTAGGTTATTTGTCTCTGGTGTAGCTGCAAGAACTCGCATACAGAACAATTGGTTATAAAATTACAGATAAAACAAAAGTCATAAAAATAAGTTAATAAGTAGTTTGAACTGTATAACATTTTTCCTATGTTACAAAGAAACAATGTCTTATTGCCTTTTTGAACCACGTTTTTTTCTTTTCATTTTTTTTCTACAAAAGCGAAAAGATTCATTCCCTGCCAAACAATAGATGGGCTAAATTTACTGAGTTTTTGTCTGAAATGCAATGAGTTCAGAGTGAATAAAAGGTTGAATTTTCTGCTCAGCTCAAAATTTTAAAATCCAAATCTTTTACTTTATATGGGCCAAAGCGCTGGTAAAAAAGCAGACCACTGCAGTTTCAACTAATTACCACTTTATTCCCACTCTCCCTCGCCATCTCTGCTCGCCACATCACAGTTTTTCCTTCAATTGATCCACGTCCATCGTTCCAGTTGTTCATAAAGTTTAGGTACAAATTGCCACCATTTTCCCCATAGATTCTACCTCCTGCGCCAAACAACTCTTCTCGTCTCATACTGATGGGGTCTTCTTTCAAACACAGGCCCACTCAGCTCATAATGGTGTCATCATCGTTCTCTCACAGCTGGCCCTCAGCGCGGCACTTGTTTTCCTCGTTTCCTGCTCTTCTGCTCTCAAATGCTTCTCAACCCCCTCACTTCACCATCCTCCTCATCCTCCTCTCTCGGTTCCGGAAACAGCGCATCTCACTCCATCATCTGCAAACTTCACTGAAGTTAAATTATACGAAGACGGTCTGTCAGTCAAAATGTTTAAATTAAATAAAAGAAAGAAGGTGAATCAAGTTGCTATACATGAGTTTATAAGAAACGAACTGTTTTATCCCAAAGAATGCAACAAATCCAGGTATGTTTTAGTCTCCAGTTGACTTTTAATCAATGGAACAGAAGCACAACGTAAACACAGTCCTATTTATTCACAAACTGAGGTCTGACTGAGGAATTAACACCATATACCATTCTTGACCAAATGAACTCCCCCTTATAGCCAAAATTTGAAATAATGTGATCTGTTAGCACTCAGAGAGTAGGTTTTGATTATGTAAGACCTCATTTTGTAAGAACAGCGTATTATGTAATAATGTAATAAAATCAGGCTTCAAAATGTAATAAACTCACGCTAAAACTGCGTTATGTAATAATTGATACAAAATGTAATAAAAGTCTTCAACACATTATGTAATAACGTTATTATATTTTGCGGCAATTGTTACAAAATGTGTTGGTATAATAATCTGGTGCATTATGAAATAAACAATCAAAAAGCAGTATTCTCTTCAGCCTAATCAATATAATTGTAAGAACTGTCATGTTGCAAATAGGTACTACATAATTAAATCTTTATAACTTTGGTCAATAAACACTGACCTTCTCATGTTTTATTTACATTTTCAGATTTACTGTCCTGATCCCTGTTACAGAAATTATTCCACTTTGTAGACAACAACTCCCAAAATATATCTAAAATTTAGTTGTACAAACATGTCCACCCCTTCAGACATTTACCTGTATAATGAGCCTTAAAAATCCATAATTTTTGTTAAAAAATCTGTATTATGGTAATCACATGCAGGGGGAGTTGGGGGGGGCAGGTGGACCATCAGCCACGGAGGGGAGGGGAGGGGAGCTGTCTGTGGTGCAGGCGGACTGTCGGCTTCTGTATCAGAACTAAATGAGGGTTGAAGAACTTGTTTCTAGAAATAAGAGTGAGTTAGAAGTGGATAGTTGATGTTAATAATTGATTTTTTACGTCCTACAGGCTCTGACATGTTGAATAAACTAGAAACTAAGTTTTTGAAAGATTCCATAAAACATGAAAAAAATCTGTGAGATTGCTCTATAAAACCATATACATAAGAATTTGACTTAAAATGCAAATAAAAGATGAGAAGTTTGGTGTTTATTGACCAAAGTTATAAAGATTTAATTATGTAATATTTGCAACATGACAGTTATTACAAGCATATTGATTAGGATAAACAGAAATACTGGTTTTTGATTGTTTATTATATAATGCACCAAATTATCACACCAACACATTTTGTAACAATTGCCGCAAAATGTAATAATGTTATTGCATAATGCATTAAAGACTTTTATTACATTTGTCAATAATTACATAATGCGGTTTTAGCGTGAGTTTATTACATTTTGAAGCCTGATTTTATTACATTTCTACATAATAAGCCATTATTACAAAATGAGGTCTTACAAGCATGACTCTCTGGTACAACCACACCCTATTTTAGGTTATGTAACACCGGATAAGTTATGGTTATTTTTGAGTTTCCAATCATAGTTTGGTCTTAGAGGCCATATTGACCAAGAATGACTCCTAAAATGAATCAGTGGTAAGTGCATCCAGTGATAACTTTAGGGCTGCACCAAACAATTATTTTGATAGTCGATTAATCTGTTATTTTTTCGATTAATCGATTGGTTGATTAGTAGTCAAGAATACTACACCCTCCATCCCCCCACAAGAAGCATCCTGTGGGCACACTTACTGTTCCAGCTCCAGTAAACATCTCATCTCACCTGCTCACACCTGAGAATGTCACTGTTATCCAGTCTCTTCCTTAACAAGTTCCCATAGCAAATTATAATAATGACCTATTAAACCTACCTTAATAGCTTAATCACATGTACAGTATTTCTAACATTAATTTGTGAGATTATAACAAAAATGAAATTAAATACATAATAAACTGCAAGTAGTCTTTTAAACAAACAGTTAATGCACAAATAACTCTAAATAGCAGCCTCCTCCCCAGCATGAGGGGCTGTTAACCGGCCCTGCTGCAAATCCAAAATAAACTGAAGAACTTTGTTTGAAGAAACATTCAGGTGCATCAAAGTAAAAAATAATCAATCCTGTTTGAAAATCTTGCTGGATCTGGCCATCCAAAAGTTCAAATAAGACGTAAGTAACCATTTCAATAAAACAGGAAAAGAGGAGACAGGATGCATTAGTATAATTCAGTGACTGTCATGAATTCGGTTTTTCAAGTCACGTCACAGCCATGTTTCACTCATTGCTCTACCCCTCCCGTCACAGAAACTCTTATTATCACTCATGCTTCTCACCTGTGTCTCCAAGTATATAAGCTTCTCTCCTCCACTAGTCCAGCGCCTGATTATTGAACGGTTCGCCAAGTAAATGTCTAGCATTCCAAAGCCACGTCTCGTCTTCCTGGTCACGGTCCCTTTTCTGGTTTTTGGTCTCACGTCTTCTGCCTTGTCCCTGAATGGAACTTCTTCTGATTCTGACTTCCTGGTTTTGACCCCCAACTGCTCCCACGGATTTTTGCCTCCAGCCCGAGTCCTTGTCGGATACCTCCAGTCATCTGTCGCCCGGCTCTCGACCACTGCTTCGGCTCATCGACAAAGAGTTAAGTCCGCCCCTCTTAACACCAGTCTGCCTTCTGCCTTCCTGTGTATGACCCCGTTCAGTCCTCAGAATTCGTCCATGCTCCAGCGCTTCGCTTCGTTTCAACAACACGGAAATCTCCGCAAGACGTTCCCACGTCTCCCTCGTCTGGTTACGTCATTCAAGGGATTCCCCCGGAAGTCCCGCTCTCTAAAAAGGTTAGTGACTCTTTTTTTCTAAATCCACAAGCTCATTGTCCCTCCGAGTCACTAACCTCAT